CCTAGGAGATGAGTAGGGCTTATTTTCAGTTTATTAAAAAAATGATTTTGTATATCTGTGGTGATTAAACATTTTTTCAGTTCTTATTATAGAAAATCATAAGATTATTATTAGATTTTTACTTTAGTTATATTTTAAAAGAATTAAATTTGGATTATGAAAAAGAAGAATTAAATAATGGATTTGAAAATATATGTAATTACCAGAATGGATTAGAAAAGCAATAGTCATTTATACTAAGAAACCATGGATTAAATACTCCAAAAAGATTTTAAACTATCATTGAAATTATCTATATATTGCCTCTATCTTATGTTTTAGAAATTAAACTTTTGTTTGTTAAGGTAAACATATCTGAAAGCTAAGAAGTTTTTAAGTACATTTAAAATGAATCTGCAATTTAAAATTATTTAGAGACTTAAAATTTTTATATTTTTTGAGATAACACTGTAAATAAGAAAATGCTAAAGCCTAGTCAACGAAAAGCTTGGGTAATACATTTCATAAAAAAAAAATATCCTCACAAAGAAATAATATCTTTACATAAAAGCTCTTTTTTTTAGAATTATATTGAAAAATAGATAGATTTTGGGATTTTATTTGAAAGATGATATATCAAAAAGGTTTTGAGTAAATTTGAAAATGGTAACGATGATCAAGATTGAATTTGAGTAATTTTAAATAAGCCCCTTGATGTACAACTGAATAATAATTGTGAATCCCCCTAAAATTTAGAAACTTAAAAATAAATAAAATTTTTTTAAAGTTGCATTAGAAAAAAATACATCATGTTTGCAGGGTATGTGGAATCTTATTTGCTGATTCAAAATTTTAGGATGATATATTTTTGGAATGAGAATAATGATTCCGATTTGTCAATAGATATAATCAATTAGCAATAAATAGAAATTAAAATTAAAAATTTTGTATCTATGTCACAAGTTTAAAAAGTTATTTTATTTTAGTTTTCAATAAAGCAAAATATAATACCAGAAAAAATTGTATAACACCATCTTCTAAGCTTTTTGCGATGATGAAAAACAAATTTTTTGTTTAAAATGGATAATAGCATTAAGTATAAAGAATTGAAATGTTAGATATAAAAAGATATTCAATGAATTCATAAGAATAATATATAAAGGAATCATTATTCTTACTTTTGATTACTAATCATTTCTTACGATAATATTAATAACATTTTTTGATCCAATACTAAATTCAACCGAGATCAAGTAGATATTTGAATTATTATTATTGATATATCTTCAATTAGGGCTTATCTTTTTGTTCAACATATTTATTTAGAGTTAAGAGTAAGTTTGGAAATATTTCGGCAAACCAAAGTAATTTTTCCTTTATATTACAGTCTCTATCTCAATTATTTATAAAATAATAAAGCTGATTCAAATATTACCATTCGAATCAAAAATCATAAAAATTCCAGACTTTAACAGCAGGATTTTATTATTTAATTATATTTGATATTTTTTCTTTTATTATTAAATTATTATGTATTTTAAAATTATATCCCTTTTTAGGGTTCCTTAATATTTATTAGTTGTACTTGGGTTAGAAAAATTAGAAAGAGTTAGAAACAACATTTAATCTCTAAGTATATAGAAAGGAATTGTACAAGTACATAAAGCTTAAAGGAATCATTGTAATAAGTAGTTCAATATTTTCTATAATAAAATGCACATTAACAATGAAATTGCAGAAAATATTTTAGCTTTCTTGAGATGATAGAAATTCTTTCTTTGTAATTTGAGAATAGAATAGACTTTTAGAATATTGGTTTCCAGCACTTTTACAAGATCATCTTTTTACTTATTTTAGATGTAAATTATTACTAATTGAAAGGATTAACCTAAAACATATTCATGAGATGAAAAAATTTACAAAAACTAATATTAGATATTTAGATCTATTCATTTCAATTCAATAAATTAATTACTGATTAATAGAAAATGGCTCTTTATAAGTTAATAAATTGATAGTTTGATAACCAGAAAAAGTTTTCTTAACACATAATTAAATAAAAAAGGTCAGTATCATCTTTATTGAAATGTGAAAGAAATATTAATACTGTTTTATATTCTTTCTCTTAGGAATACTTCGACATCAATTCAAAATTACCTTAAGTAAATTTACATTCACTATAATTTTCAAATAATTTAACAATTTGTTTGTATTTAAATGAATACTTTATTAAGGTACAAGAGATGGATTAAATAATTAATAATATTGGAATAAAGTAAATGGTAAAGAGAACTTACTTATGGTATTTAAATCGAAAAGTGATTATATCTTTGGAGCATACTCTCCTTGTAAATGGGAATCATGTAATGGTAAATATATAGAAGATAATACATTATCATCTTTTATATTTTCATAAACTCATGATTAAGTTTATCCTTTGAAGTAAGATTAAAAATAATATGCTATTTATTGTCATTCAAGTGTTGGACCTAGATTTGGATAAGGACATGATATTTAAATAAATAGTGATTTTACTGATGGTAATTCTAGATTAGGTTGTTTATATTAATTTAATTAATATAAGAATTAAAATGATGATCCATATTTATATCGAAAATAGTTAGCTAACTGGAATCAAATTTTATTCAGACCCCTTAATTATCATGACAGAATTCATAATAAACTTATTATCCAAATGAGTCTAAAGGATTATTATTTCTTTTTATCATTATTAGATGAACTAAATTATAAAATTTGTATTAAGGTTTATATTATTTAAAAAAATACTATCATGCAGATTTAAATCCAAATTAAATTTGGTGAGTATGTAATTGTTTTAAGACAGTCACCAAGAATTGAAACTATAGTACTTCTAAGCCTATGGTAATGAAATATTAAAATCCTAACTTTTCCTTGATGCCCTATAGATTTTAGAAAAAGATATGCAAGATGTAAAAACTTTAACTAAATCTGCTGAAAAAATCAAATCTGAGCCAGATAAACGAACTAAATTGAAGAATTTACTTAAAGCTGGAATCTTAGAGCCTCTTTCCACTGAAAAGTGATTATGATCTTGGATTTGCAAAAATGATTCTGCATCTTCTAATACTATTATCTAAGTTGCCTAGAGACCTCAAATTTATAATATTGATCTAAATGTTCATCTCAATTATCCAGAATACTATATATTTAATGCCAAAAGAGAGAATAGAGAAAATTCTGAAATCCTAAATAAGATGCAAATCAATTTTTTACATCTGTCAATGAATGAGAAAATGCCCAAATAATTTTTCTACATGAAAATTTTCACCTCTTTCATATCATAATAATGGACTATTAGAAGAAGATAGAAGAATAAATTGAACCTCTTGTTAGAAATAAACAAAAGTTGCATAAGAATTTTTGAAAGCTAAAATTCTTAAATATTAGTAAGAATAAAAAGATTAGTGATATTACCTTAAAAGAATACTAAACTAAAGTAAAGTAGAGAAAATTTTAATATTATATTAATCCTTGTTAGCTTCTTTAAATGAATAAATTCCCCAATAACTTTAATAAATGTTCGTTGAATCTCAGGATAAATCTGTTAAATGAATTGAGTATCCTTCAAATGAAGGAGATCTCTTTTTCACAAGATGTTATTTTATATGATAGTGAAATCAGAAATGTGATTATATTTGAAGGTTAATAAGGAGATATTATCTGGATAGATGCTGATAAGGGGAAACCTCTATATTTTAAATTAAGTTAAATCGGAGATCAAATAATTTTAATATTTTGGGTTTCAAATTTGCTGGGCTTTTGCCATTGTAAGTTCAAGTTTAAGCAACCAAATATAATGGGAGCTAATGGATTTATAGTTCATTTCTAATTAAAATTATAGGTTAAGTAACCTCAGAGTTCCAGCTTAGTAGAGACTTAATGATAAAAATAAATGAAAAAGTTAGTCTATTTTAAAAAATATGTAATTTAAGGTTATTAATTTAACTTTTAGATTAATTTGGCTATTAATATATGTTAAAAATTATTATTTTCGTAAGAAGAAATATTTAACTTTGAAACTTATAATCTCTCAAGATTCTTTTTTGATAATACTATATTTTATTTTAATGTACTTTTAAATTTCATATAAATCTAATCAAAGTCAAATTTAGTAATCATATAGCAATAATACTGATCAGTTTATATCATTAATGAGATTAAATCCCTTGAATAGGAATTGTTAAAAAATGTTGATTTTTTTATAGTGATATATTCCATTTGAATCAATTCATTCAACTATATTCATTTCAATTAAAGAAATTTAATGAAGAGTTTTGGTTCTAATCAAGGGATTTATGGTTAGATTTATTCTCAATAAGATTCACCTTTGAATTTAGAAAGAAGACCTTATTTGGAGCAGAAAATTTGAAATCATTTCCATGAGAGACATTAAGGGAATGCTGTTGATATGATCCAAAAATTAAAATATTATTCAATGGGAAAAATTTGAATCAAAAGGATTGTAGTTTTAGTGGATAAGAG